GGAAAGGAAAGGAAAGGAAAGGAAAGGAAAGGAAAGGAAAGGAAAGGAAAGGAAAGGAAAGGAAAGGAAAGGAAAGGAAAGGAAAGGAAAGGAAAAAGAAAAGAAAGGGAACAAGTGACATGGCAGGAGAGGGAGAAGATGACAGTAACAGGGGAAAGGCTGGAAGGACAGCATGAACATCCAAAGAGTGGGAAGGTCTGGAGATGGCTCAAGGGAGATCAGTTATTTTTAATTATTAGGACAGGCAGATTTTAAGCAGTTCTCCAGCACTGCTTGTAGAACAGAATCTATTCCATTTAGGCAGCATTCCTTTGCCATCACACATCTTTTGTGGTTTATCTTGGCTTCCTTCTGGAAATGTGTCGTGCAAGGACAGCCAACCCCCCTTGGACCAACCTCCAGGACCCCTGAGCTCACAGCAACACCCCACTCCCTCCAGTGCACTTCAACATTGTACTCTAACCATAATTCTGCACCTAACGAGATATATTTTTTTTTTTTCTGATCCACACAAAACAGCTTCAAATAAAGGCAGTGTAACACTGTGACCTGCCACTCTGCCACACACCAGGCACAGCGCTGGCKGTGATAATGGAAATGGCCATCAGCACTGCTGCATTTTTATCCACTGCACACAACTGTGACCCAGAATGTGGCACACGCTGACCCAGTTCATGGGCAATGCTCATTAGTTTTACATAGCTGAGTATGCTGGGAAATGCCCTCTGAAATTCATTAGTGGCCCAGGGCATCAAGGCTAGGCAAACACAAATCCCTCCACCCCTGGGTGAGAGGAGCACTCCCTTTCTTTCCACATGCCTGCAGCAATGTTAGTGATGCTTTGGAAATGGTTTGGAGGAGGGGGAGAGGAGCTCTGGAGCCACCAGCCGTGCTCAGCAAAAGCAAAATGCTCTAAAGCAGCTCCTCCATCAGCTGTGCTGTCACCCATTAGAGTTTCAGGTCCATTTGTTTAAGTGCTGCTACCACGAGCCACCCCACAGCATGCAGAAACCCAAAGAATAAAGCTGCTCAACGGGTTGGTTCAAACTGGGGAGCCAATCCATTAAAAAAATCCTCTGTGAGTAAAGGATAAACCTTCAGGGAAAAGGGGGAAGGTCAGCATGGCARGACCCAGCAGAGCTCCTGCTTGCCACTCGGCAGTTAGTTCTAAAATTAATTCTTTGCTCATCTCTGACATTAAGAGCTAAATGCAACCTTGGCCCCCAAGAAATTACTGCACGAAAAGCAGGCAGGAAAGTACAACCCTGAGTAATCCAGAGGAGGGAAAGCAACTGTTTGTTCACCTTTCATTTCTGTCATCACAGATACACAACTTCTGAATTTTGGGCTAAGTGACATTTTCAGAGGGAAGGGAGTGGGTGAGAGGACAACGAGCTTCCCACCAGCATTCTGGAGCCTGAGCCAACCGTTACCTAAGAGTGTTTGTGTATTATTAATCTGCTTTTGTAACGATCTGCATTTCTCCAGCACAGTCTGAGAACATCCCACTCTGCCCAGTGCAGGCAGAGGTGGAACATCTGCTTTCTCCAGCTCTTCCCATGTGCTTCGTTTAGCTCCTCAAATAACCCTGACTGCTGTGGTTGTCTGTCACTGGCAACACTTCCTTCTGTACTTTAATGTAAATGCAGCTACAAAACACGCACGTCCAAGAAATACTTTTCCATCCAGATCGACTGAAGGGTTCTTCCCTTCCCTTGGCTCTTTTTTCTTCAGCCAGTTGGACAAAACCTGTTTAAGGAGGCCATCAGCAACTCTTGTTTTATTCCACAGCTACTGACACAGGAATATGCTGTTCCTCTTCCCCATCCTCCAGCACAAAGGGACATTCCAGTCTTTTTTTCTCCTTTTCTTTTTTTTTGTATTAGACTTTGGAAAGCCTTTAGCTCATCCACKTGAAGGTTTTCCCAAACTGTCCCCACGAACCTCTCTTGGAGAACATGGCACAGACATTCAGATTTAGCACTGAATTATTTTAACCAACTATTTTTACCATTGTCTACAACCATTCAGTGCTTCTGCTCAGCGAAGAGCTCAGCATCTTCAAAGCCTCAAAATTCTCCTGATGCCTGAAAGGCGAGCCAGATGTGTGATTGAGTTTCTGAAGGAGGCGACCTCACGCACAACAAAGAGCTCCACGCTGTTATTTTAACAGATTTTCAATTCTTTGCCAGGTCAGTGATGCTTTTTCCCCCCCGGTGTCACTCAGAAACGTCAAACCCCGCAGCTGCACAGGACAGGGAGCGTTTGTTTTATCCACGAGGACATCACAGGCACAGCTCTTTCCAAGCAAATCAATTTATTTGCTGTTGACAGCAAGGATTCCTCAGCGGTGATGCTGAGTTGTGCTGCCCAGGAGGTTACTACGAGTGCACTGAGCACACGACTCCCAGCTAGCAACTTGACAAACATCCTTAACAGTTTCATTTGTCCTTATTTTCCTTCCTGAGGCTCGATAATCCATCAAACTCACGGTTTGCAGAGTGCTGCACAGCCCCTCTGGAAAATATTTTGATGCAACAAAGCGAACTACTGTTTGTGATAAAGGATAAACAGGAACGTGGAGCTTAAAAATAAAACATTAATTATGAAATTGAATGAAACAAAAAAAATCCTTTCAGAATGATTTCCCTTTGAAGCAGGAAATGAAGGTTTGAGTGACGATTTTAAACAACAAAATGCCAATGTCTTGTTCTGTGTTCTTCCAGCATTAAGGACCATTTTCCAAAGGGATCACTTGGGAATGGGAATGGGAGTGATGCTGCTGTCCAAGGATCCCAAAAAGGGTAACAGCAATGCTGGGAACAGACCCAAAGGCTCGGGATGGAGCTGTGSTGCCGTTCTGAGTCATCCCAGGAAYCATTTCCCAAACACRAYGGAGATTTCCRRAACTTCCAGGGGCTGTGTCAGCAAATCTGGTTTGAGAAGCCATTCTGAGGTCAGCCTGATCTGCTCATCCAGGGCTGACGTCTGGAATTCCATTATTTCTGGAATTTGTGTAAAACCTGCATTTACAGCAGTGAAGATTTACTGGGAGATTAAGGATCTTGCTCCTGGTGTGTAATCCTGCTGCAGGCACTAAGGGCAGCATCTCCCAGCCTCAGCTGTTGGGCTCTGACCCGAAAGCAACACACTGGATTTATTTTACAAAAAAAAAAAAAAATTGGCTAAAGAATGAACAGGACTTTAAAACCTTTTCCTGAAGAGTCCGCAGCCGAGGAACAACAACTTATTTTTACTTTAATTTTGGCTGTAAGTGTTGTTTCTTGCTCTTTCTCTGGTGATCAGAGATGCCAAAAAGCTTCAGTGAGGGATCTATGCTGTGGATGTGACACAATGTTTGAAAGAGCCGTATTCTTTCCCTTTTCCAGGAAGAAACTGAAGCTAAAACTGCATCCATTTATCAATTACATAGCCAGCAGGATGACTTAAGCACTCAGGGGAAGAAAGCTGAGACAGATGAGGTATTTTAAGCAGAGATAGCACACTTGACTGCCCTTTCTGGTAGTCTGCAGAGCTTCAGATTTGCAAGGAATACATTGACTAATGCATCCTGAACAAAACCAGACCTGGGCAYTGCATTCCTTTCAAAAACTCCACGAGAAAGAGGAAATATCTGTGCATTTATTTCTGCAGCACACGCTCCCTGCCTGGCCATGGGGGTGCAGCAGGAAAGCAGATAGGACAAGATATATCAAATACAAGATATATCTAATACAAGATATATCTGGCACAAAAAGCCAAGCAAAACKCATCCTGATTATAATTTTTCYTGCTGTTTTYTTCTCTGAGCTSGGAGCAAGTGACAGGAAAGCATTAACTGCTCCCATCCTCCCAAAAGGTGTAGGAGGAGCAGGAGAAAACTCCTCAGATTTCAAAGCAATAGAATGGCACCTTCCCACCACCACGGAATTAGGGTTAAATCTCAGGAATACAACAAAATTCAAGCTGTAAATCTTATTTACGTAAGTGACAGTGTTCCTAATGCTCCATACAAACCCCTCCTGCTGTAACAACAAGCAATTGTTGTTATGTGTATTTTATTGTATATTTAATGTATATTTATACGTATAAATGGTGTATTGCTTCAAAAGCTATGGTCTACTTTGGAGTATTTTCAAAAAAAAATTTCTCAAAATTTTTTGAGAAAATTTTTGAGAAAAAAATTTCTCCAAAGTGCACACACAACAGTAACACTCAGCCCGTGCCTTCCCCATATACAGCACCTGACCTTTCCAAACAAAACCCTGCTCAAAAACTGGGCAATTTTGCTCTCAGTGCTGAAGAAGAAACACAATTTTGTCATTAATTATGTCATATCCTAATGAGAAAGTTGGGTGGCTGGGAAAGACAAACCCTCAGAGTAACAGGGGGAGTTTTGTTTTAGAGAAATAACTTTTCTGGGTGATCAAACTCCTTCCAGAAATCTCTCTTCAGGCTCCCCAAGCGAGCACTGGAACAGATTTTCCAAAGCGACGCCGAGCAGGAAAACACCACGGGGGTCCCATTAGAAGTGACCTTTTCCCAAGGAACACAAAAAAAGGTATTTTTTTGGTTTTTTTTCAGTACCTGTGAGGCCAATCTCCTCATKGCCTCCTCCTGGCGCCGGCGCATCTCGGGGGTCCCCGGGCAGCTCCCGCTGGTGATGGATGGGTGGGCAGAGGGTGCTTGGCTCAGGGGCAGCTCTCGGTTGGCATCAACATCTGTGCGAGGAAAAAAGGTTGGGATTGCCACAGGAGCAGCACTGGCATCACCACAGCACAGTTAAAATACCTCTGCAAACGCTGTGGGATTGGCATTTTAGGGATTTCCAAAGGGTCTTTAAAAAATTTCTTTTAAAAGGAGGAAAGGACCAGTAAGAAAAAGCCTTGAGCTTTTCTTATTCATCTTCCCCGCTGTAATTTGGTTGGTTTTATAATAATGAAAATGATGGAGAGAACTGGGCACTCTGGAAGGCTCTGCCTTCAGCTTTGGTGGATTTGAGTGCTGAGCTCTCCTGCTCTGCACTTCTGCCAACAGACCTTGCCTTGCTATGAACAATCGCTGCTTAATTTGGTTCCAAGTCCTCCTTCAGCACAGACAGCCAATTTTTCTGAATTACAGGCCTATTTTCTAACATAAATAAAGCAAGAGCCCCAGCTAACACAGCCATCTGAAGCCCATTAATTTAATCAGGGGGAGAGGAACAGGAGCAGCACCGGGATCTGTAAAAGGCTTGCAAGCAAATAATAAATTATCCTGGAATCATCTCTGGCAAATTTAACCGTGTTCTATTGCATTTTAGCTGCTTTTTTTTTTGCCTGGCAAAGCAGCAACTGGCTTTACCAGCAGATTGCTACAAAATCCACCTGGCCTGTGGATAACATTTCAAAACCATTTTTATTTGCACTCCTAGGCACTCACATGGAGAATTTTTTAATGACACCGCGACACACAGCACTCTAGCTGATGTCTAGTTGCTGATTATTTTAAAAACACCACTCTGAAGTGCAGTCTGTGCTGGCAGAGGACTCTCCTGCCTGGATTGCTGCAGTGCATCCCTGAGTTTGACTGGAAATAATCATGCAAACAATGACCCATTTAATGGCAAACACCAGAGGAGGATGACTGCTGCCTCCATAATTAAATGTGTTAGAGTGAGGCACGTTCTTGATTTGGAGCCACTTGTACTTTCTGAGAGAGGAATTAGAAGTGTGAGGCTGTACTGAAGCCAGTTTAATAATGCTGATTGCACAGCTGCCATAGCAGAGTCAGACCACCTTGATTAGCACTTATTAATTATCATTGATTTAATAAGCATAATGGAYTTTTTCTTGTCAGTATGTGGAAAAAGAAACAACGAAGAAACTTATCAGAAAATCAGCGATGAATCATAGAATATCCTGATTKGGAAGGCACCCGCAAAGATCTTGCAGAATAATTATTATTTTCTACAGCTAGGCTAATACTTGTGATCTCTTTAGGAAATCAAATCAAATTAATTATTGATTCTGAAGGTTTCCATGTAATAACTAACGCTGAGGATTCATCCAGCTTTTAATTTCATGGAGAGAACTAAACAATGTGTTGGATGGGACCAAGGATCCTCATGATCTGTGCACAAAGGGTGAGAAATGCAGATTTTAGTGCACAAGGAGTTAAACACATTCATCCCTTCCATGTCCACCATCGCCCTGAGTAGACTGGGGACACACAAAACTGCAGAGCTGCAGTTAAAATACAGAAACAAGGCCTTCCTTTCACTCCACATTGCTCAYTCAGCTCTGACAAGTGACACTATTCAACATGCCAACCCCTGGTGACATTTCAGCTCTTGTGACAGGGAAAGAGCACAGCGTTCCAGTCAACAGATTTAACTTTGGCTTCACTGAGATACAGTGACCTACATCCTTAAAGATACCTCCAGGTACCCAAGTCAGTATTTTTAGCCGTGTCTTACTCACTTAAGGAGAGCTGAGTGATTTTAAAATGTTGTCATCTCCACCTGCAAAGCTGTCAGGATGTGATGGGGATTGGATGGGACCACGGGAGGCAGAGCAGTCCTGGGTGCTRAGCTGAGCCTACACGGGCTCGTGACCCACGGGGAGGATTTGTACCCTGCYACACTGAGATAATCCGTATGGGAAGGGAAATGTGCTGCCATGGATTCACAACCACACAATGCTGCCTGCCTGATTTAGCTGGAGCTGTCATGAGCAGGGGGATTGGACTCCACGACCTTTAAAGGTCCCTTCAAACCCATTCTGCGTTTCTAAAATTGGAGCGTTCCCAATCACAGAAATGCCTGTGATGTTTCTGAGCCAGACGAGTTTGCGACAGACTACTCTGACTCTTCAAAAAGCAGCTTTGGAACAGCAGCAGTAAAAAAACTGCCTAAAGCACTACCTGAGGGACTCCGAGAGAGATGAACAGGGACCTTACACAAGGGCATGGAGTGATAGGACAAGAGGAAATGACCTCAAGCTGGAGGAGGGCAGATTTAGATTAAATATTAGGAATAAAGTGTTCCTTTATTAGGAATAAAGTGGGAGATGGGGAGGCCCTGGCAAAGGGGAGAAGCTGTAGCTGTCCCTGGATCTCTGGAAATACCCAAAAAGCCAGGCTGGACAAGGCTTGGAGCAACCCAATGGATGGTGGAACCATGGCAGGGGTTGGAACGAGATGGGATTTAAGGTCCTTTCCAACCCAATCCACTCAGTCCATTTCTCACAAAAACTCCCAACAATGCATTTCAGGCACATTTCTTACAAAAACTCCCATCAATGCATTTCTCACAAAAACTCCCAACAACGCATTTCAAACACATTTCTCACAAAAACTCCCAACAATGCATTTCTCACAAAAACTCCAAACAACACATTTCAAACACATTTCTCATAAAAACTCCCAACAATGCATTTCAGGCGCATTTCTCACAAAAACTCCCAACAATGCATTTCTCACAAAAACTCCCAACAACGCATTTCAAACACATTTCTCACAAAACCTCCCAACAATGCATTTCAGGCGCATTTCCACAAAAACTCCCAAAAATGATTTTTTCACAAGAACTCCCAACAATGCATTCAATGCATTTCAGACACATTTCTCACAAAAACTCCCAACAATGCATTTCAGACACATTTCTCACAAAAACTCCCAACAATGCATTTCAGATACATCTCACAAAAACTCCCAACAATGCATTTCTCACAAAAACTCCCAAACAACGCATTTCTCACAAAAACTCCCAACAATGCATTTCAGACACATTTCTCCCAAGTCCTTCCTTTGGTTGCTCCAATCCTAACAACCAACACTAACCTGACCTCTGGCGCACGAACACAAACGCATTTATTTCAACCAAAAAACCGCTTTAAAACCGACACAGAAAACCTCGGCGAGTTACACAAACCCCACCCTTACGTTTTGGCGAGGCGTGCGGGCTGTCGGAGGCGATCTGTCTCATCCTGGTGCCGTGGCAGCTGAGTGCCACCAGCCTGGAGATGATGGCCGTTTTCCCGAAGCCGATGTTGCCCACGATCACCACGCCGCGGTTGACGCTGGCGTTGGAGCTCTGCAGCTGCGCRTCGATCTCGTGGAACACCCAGTCCCTCCCCACAAACACCGACTCGGTGGTGATGCTGGGCACCTCGAAGAGCAGAGGCTTCAGGGAGATGTCGGGGGGTCTGTAGGGTGCGAAGCGAACTGGGGAGGGAGACACGAGGGACACAATCAGAGCAGGGTTTGGAAATGGATGTTTTATCGCGCACGGAAATCATTCCGTTGTGAAAAGAGGAAAGAAAATGCGATTTTTTATCAGCTACAGGTTTGTTGTGAAAGTTTCTGTCCCATGGACAGCATTTTCCACTAAAGGAGCTGATTTTACAGGGAGTAGCTTTCTTTATCAGCCACAGGATTGTTGTGAAAGTTTCTGTCCCATGGATAGTGTTTTCCACCCAAGGAGTTGAGGATTTTAAAAGGAGTAGCTTTATCACCCACACAATTGTTGTCAAAGCACCTGTGTCATCCACAGTGTTTTCCACCAAAGAAATTGAGGATTTTACAGGGAGTGGCTTTCTTTATCACCCACAGGATTGTTGTCAAAGCAGCTTTCCCATCCACAGTGTTTTCCACCCAAAAAGTTAAGGATTTTACAAGGAGTAGCTTTCTTTATCACCCAAGGGTTTGCTTGAAAGCAGCTGTCCCATACACAGCATTTTCCACCCAAGGAGCTGCAGATTTTACAGGGAGTAGCTTTATCAGCCACAGGTTTGTTGTGAAAGCTTCTGTCCCCAAACCAGCATTTTCCACTAAAGGAGCTGATTTTACAGGGAGTAGCTTTCTTTATCAGCCACAAGTTTGTTGTGAAAGCATCTGTCCCATGTGTTTTCCACCAAAGAAGCTGAGCATTTTAGAGGGAGTAGCTTTTTTTATCACCCAGGTTTGTTGTGAAAGCACCTGTGTCATCCACAGCATTTTCCACTAAAGGAGTTCATTTTTCAGGGAGTAGTTTTCTTTATCACCCACAGGTTTCCTGTGAAAGCTTCTGTCCCATGGATACTGTTTTCCACCCAAGGAGTTGAGGATTTTACAAGGAGTAGCTTTCTTTGTCACCCACAGGATTGTTGTCAAAGCACCTGTGTCATCCACAGCATTTTCCCCACAAGGAGTTGAGGATTTTACAAGGAAAAAACCTTTATAACCCACAGGTTTCCTGTGAAAGCACCTGTCCCATGCACAGCATTTTCCACCTAAGGAGCTGAAGATTTTATAGGGAGTACCTTTCTTTATCACCCACAGGTTTGTTGTGAAAACATCTGCCCCATACACAGCATTTTTCACCAAAGGAGTTGAAGAATTTTACAGCGGGTAGCTTTCTTTATCACCCAAAATTTTCTTGTGATAGCACCTGTCCCATGAGTATTTTCCACCCAAGAAGTTGAGGATTTTACAGAAACCTGAGCAGCTTCGAATTGCCAGGGATGAAAACAGGGAAAGCAAAAATTGCCTTCCCCATCCTATTATAAACCAGGA